AGCAAGCGGTGCAAGTGTCGGAATCGCGCGGCGGAAACCCAATTGTTCGCCCAATCGAGCTAGTTGGTGAGAGAATGGGAATGAAGAATCTGATCTTCGAGCCTTGGAAGGCCCAATGATTGAAAAGACCACATGGAACTCGGATTTCTCTCACAGTTCGACGAGAGCACCCATCGCAAGTCTCTGGAGTCGTAGTCGATAACGGAGCACCAGAAAGTTTAGATAGCAATAGAAAAGCGTTGGAGAAACGACGCGCCGTCCGCCGCTTGCTGTGGCTTGCCGACTCTCTCTCCGGGGTCCTCAGGAGCGAGACTCTAGAGGGCGGGGCGTGTCTGCATTGGAGCGACTTCCGGCCCGCAACGATGCTCGCTGCTCCGATTGAACGGATAGATGTCGTCCTCGCGCGGCGACGTATGGATCAAGTCTTGGCGTCAGGATCAAAAAGTTTTCCCCGTCCGCGCTGATGATTCGATTTTTCTCGTGATTGCGATGACCGGCGAGGCGGGCACAGCGACGGATCGGCGAGTCGTCATCAGTTGTCGACATCATCTTCGGACTCGAAGAGCCTCAGTCCACTCCGTGCCACCGATCCTGTCGTCGATAGGAAAAATCGTTCTGCAGCGAATCATCATCGACTATCTCGGCATGGAGTGCGACCGGCACGGCGAAGTCCCAGAACAAGTCAACGGTCAGCCCCGGGAAGACGGGAATGTGAATGCGAGAGCTTACGCTACTGTCAAGGGTTTGAGGCGGAAGTAGCACCGTTACTTCGCGGTCCAGACATTCAAGAGTTTGAAGAATTTTTCCAGTTCCCTCACAAGAAGCGAATGAGCAATCGGGCCCACAGCTGTTCGTACGCGGACACGTTCACGCCCTAAGATCGAAACGGCGCGGCGGAGATGATCTCGTGATTCGTAGATTCTCGTCGTTGCGAGAAGCTTTCCCTGTAATCCTCAGCAGACTCGATTCTCGTCTCCTCACACTGAAAGAAACTTTTTCGGTGTATCCAATTTCTAAAGGTGCTCGACTGATTCATAGCCATGCAATGAATCGGAGGTTGGGCGATCGCCATTCCTAATGATGGGCAAAGGTTGAATGATTGTTCAATTCGGCAAAGTGGGAAACGTGGACGCGCTCATTCCTTTATCTTCGAACCAAGGAAAAACGTGACACCATTTCCAGGCTGAAATGCGTTGAAGCTTTTACTTCGGTACGAACGTGATAATTTAACGGTAACTCGACACCACGGATATTTTTCCCACAGAACTGGAAGCTTTCCAGTTATCTGAGACGGTTGCTTGACGTCCACGAGACCGAGTGAAGAACTGTGCCCGAGGGAAATAGATCTGCAACTTGCTTGTGACAAATCGAGCGAAAGTGGTTTCCGCGCATACGCTGAGCAGAACTGTATTCCGAGGGTCAGGGAAAAGGACGATTGTCGAGTAGGGTGGCAAAGCACTTCGGAACGGCTACCGGACTCCTCTCTGACAGAAAGAAATTGTTGCTTTTCTGTGAAAATAGAGCGAATTTATTCAAACTTCTTCTCGCATCTCTATCGAGTACCTATCGATGGGAAGATGAATCTCGTCGTGGATTATTATACAATCGTTATCGGACGTCAGTCCCGATCTTGGATCCCCTTTCGGTGCACCACGAGAGTATACGGTTTCGGATGAGGTCGTATCGATTCACATAGTCGCTACTCGACTGACAGTTGCTCTGCATCTCAGGTAACACATATGACTCCTATGTACAGTACAGGGTCGGAATAGGCATCCCGCACACGGTCATGCCAGCCTCCTCGACATGCGAATTTTATTCGTTCGATCCCGAGAACTCAGCTCCCGAAGCTCCCAAGGAGTGGGCCTGTCCGCCCAACAGTATGATGGAGACTTCGACGGGCCGCTGTTGGGATGCAGGGAAGCCGCTCATCATTTATTAACGGAAACGTGCTTATATAAATAAGAGAGTGTCGGGAAAGCAGAAATAGGGAGTAACCTACACACAACCGAGACATCGAGAAAAGCGAACGCCTCATCCGGCATGGCTTCCAGTCCGAAAGCCGCAACTCGAAGTCGATAGGGAACATCAGTTCTATACAATTCTCTCTCCTTATGGACGGTATTGTCTGCTTCATTATCTACATGCACGATGTCTCGTATCCTCTCCACTGTATCATCTACGTATATTTATCATCATGGAAAACCAATTCACGCAAAACGATGAGACGACTTATAATCCGTCCATTGATATCAAAACATATCGTATTCTATGATACCTGCACTCAACCTGTATTCTGTTCCGATTCCTTCAGTTTCACTCCTTGATATTATACGCCTATGATGGGAGTTTTCAATGATAGCGTGCAGAGCGATCGTCGTAACCGACGGACCACCAATTTCGGAACTTTGCACTGGCGGATCGGACTCGAGCTATGGAACTCATTTGAGTATATACCCTCTGCATTATTGAGTCTACCTGTCCTATTACAGACATATATTCATGTAGGTATCTATGGTAACAACATAATTTATATCTCTCTGACCAGCATCACCCAGCGAGATAATATTTCAGCCTCCGTTCTTTCTTCGTTTCGAGCTTTGGTTAATAGGTGAAAAAGGAACGAAGCCTCTAGAGTTTCGTTCCTATCCTCGAATACCCTCGTTGTGGCGTGAACCTCCTATTTACAGTCTCGGAAACGTCACGCTTACTCGCCTGTACTGAATCTTCGCGCTAAATCGAGTTCCCAAAAAGATACCTAAGTAAGGTCTTCGAATACGTCCCGCCTGATAATGAGAAAGTAACCTCATCAAGACGAGATCAGCGCGCTGCTCAATGCGCCGAAACGCCACTGCAGATGGCTCCGGCCTTCGAAGGTGACACTCTGACGGAGCGGGAAGAAACGACGAGGAAACCCCTGAGCGAATCAGTGGAGAACTGAGTGGGGAACGAATGAAGAGGTGACGTCGGTATTCTCAGCAGTGCGGAGCGCTAGCGGCCCGGGGCAGCCCTAGAGAGACTTAGAAAATCCACCGGGAAGAACTGGCCGCGGGAATCATAAGAAGGTTCATGGGTCGCTATGCGTTACCGCGGAGAAGAAGGAGGAAGAAGTTGGAGCGCTGCGCATTCCGGAGAGCACGTGAGATCTTTTAAGTAAGTCATGAGAAGGGAACGGAGAAAATCACAGATGAGGGCACTTTTGAGTTGCCTCAACCGATGCCGTCCTCGGTTCTCGCTGTTCGACTTCGGAGGTTTCCAGATCGATTCGCGTCGGTTCAATCCAATTCCACAACTCGCTGGAAACTCACCAATACTAATGAGCGAGCGGAGCGGGAAACTCACCGACTGAGCCGACTGGGGATCTCCGTCTGCTTGGAAAGAATCCAGCTTCGCACACCAGGACAAATCACGGTCCTCTTCCCCGCGGGTCGCGGCAGGGATTTAAGGAAAATCACGCATTGCGCTCCGATATTGATATTTCGTTCGCTCCGGGGCGGATCTCGGATCTCTTGTTTGTCCGCGTCGACTCGCGACGCGAGTAGTTCTTCCGGAGAAGTGACTCCGTCTTGAGGAGGCACGCGAGGAGATATTCAAATTTATTCTAGAGCGCCAAATGTGTTCCGGTCAGATAATTTCGCTGCGAGGAAGGAGGCTTCCGAGCTGCGAACCCTTCCATGAACAACCACCGGATGATTCCAAGCCCCTCGTGAACACCTTGACGTTTGCAGCGTGCGCTCATGATTAATGCATGGATTATGCTCAATCAATTGAGAAGAAGCCCGGGCAAGGCTCGCATGAGCTTCATGGAACAGCTGATAAAACCACATGCTGGACGCATCTACGAAGATTGTATGCAAACGAATGTTGATGTGCGCTAGATTATTCAGAGTGTCGGCCGACATCTGCAGGTGGCTCGCCTTGACTGCGGGTGCTCGCTCCCGCCAGAATTTCACCGAGCGCCGGGATCAATCCAGAGGTTCCGTGTGCGTATTGTATAAACACCTTTCTCGAGTGCTCTAGTACCGCTCATATCTCGACTCGGGTCGGACCCACCTGAACGAGTTCCCAGCTGAATATACAACCTCCCGATATTCTAAACTTTCTCATTGATCTGAGCTTTCTCTCCCAGGACAATTCTCGAAACTCAACGTCGATATCGCGTCCAATTGATAATTACAGCTGTTGAGCCACTGCTGCGCCGTCAGCTGATCGTCGAGGTTCATCGATCGCGTTCCGACATCGAATCAGGTCGACGTAGCCGGCCGTACCGAAATCGCCGAGCTCTATCAACGTTCAGGGATTGTCCAGATAGAGTAGAAGCAAGCGACAAGAGACCGACCGCCTGACTGAAACAGTGGCTTGGGTTGCGTTATCTTCTCCCATAGTGGTAGTAGTATAATAGAGGTGGAGGCAGCCGCGGCGGCAGTATCGTCATCTGACGAAGTGCTTTGCCTTCCCACGGTATAGCGTAGCGGACGTGGTGGCAAAGACGTTCATAGATCTTCGTCTCCTCCTCTCGACCCCCTTGGGCATGCCTCATTGCTCTCTAGGTTTGCCAACTAACGCCCTCTTCAAAAAATACTCGACGGGTGGTCGACCCACCGGCTACCGAGCCGCGGCGCTGGCATCGTCGCTCCCGCCTTCAGAGTGGCCTGGGGCAACGCCACAGTCAACCCCAGAGGTAGACCACCTCGTAGTGTGCACAGCCGATTCAAGGGTGGAACGGCTCTCCTCGAACGGTTGTCATTAAACTTTGACGGCTCTCGGCTTCTCGGAGTTCGCCCTGTCGCAGCGGCCACCGACCGTTTAGGAGACTGGGTAATACAAATGTCTTTCCATTGATTACACTCGGTGCAGGTCGGCTCTCTGCCATCCGGGTGAAAAACAGCTGCTTCTTTCCCTGACGGGCGGTGGAACGAAATATTGTTCTTCAAGGGGCATTGGCTTTCCCAGAACGGGTCCGAAGGCCACGCAGAGGCCCAGGGGTCCGACGGTAGTGATCAAAATTGCTGGACGCTCACTGTGGTCACGTTGGGTGGAGGTGGTCGCTGACCGTGGAATTGTACCTGGAATTCACAAATTACTCGGTAAATGTTTTTGCGACGTAAAATCGCATTCTAGCGCCCACCCCTCCCCGCGCCGATCGGACGGCCGGCTAGGCGACGACCTTCGACCGAACTCAGCCTGGTCCGTGGCATGGCCGAGCACTTGGCGTTACGGAACGGGCTCATTCGGGCTGGCAAGCTCGAACGTCGGAGTCGTCGGTCTGTGCGACCGATCCGTCGCTGGCCATTACCCCAATACATTCGGAGCAGAGCGGCAACTGATGGAGCCATCAACTCCTCCGGGAACGAGCAGAACCGCTGCTACCGCGCAAGAAGGCTTACCACTGTCCGAGCGGCGTCGTCGACAACGACCGAAAGATACAAGACGAGACAGCTCTCGCCACACCAATGCAACGCTTGCGAAGCTCACTCACTCACTCGGTAATCACCGGTGCAGTCCCTCACGTGCCGAGCTATTCTACTTGCATCAATTCGATCGAGGGAAGGATCGCCAGCCGACGAAGCGTCTCGATTGCGGTCGACAAGAGGCAATTACAGAAGAGCGAATTTATCAATCTCCGCTCCGATCCTCCCGGGAGGGGGATGTCGCAGGATCGGGCTTGGATGCGACGTCAATCTCGACGTCGCTGATCTCTACGTGTCGTCAATGGAAGGGGAAAACGATTCCTCACCTGTTTCTGCTGCGTCGAGTTGAAGTCTTTCGTCCGCATGAGGTGCCCTTCCCGGACCTGAGCGTACTCCGTTCGATCGGGTCGGAGCCTCCCATTGGGTCCCTGGGGCAGGTCGAGAGACGCATAGACCAGCGGCGACGGCTGTACTTGCTGGTGAGGCGGTTGCGACGAGGGCAGGGGAGGTCGCGATGACGACAAAGTTACGTCAGGCTTTGGGAGCTGTCGGAGGCGGACAATAGAAAGGGTTTTTGTGAGCGAATGAATGAACGAACCGAGGTCTTCTCGAGCCTGCATCCCCGGCAGGAAGGCCGCTCCTACGTACCACGGGAACTTTGATGGCGTTCACGTCGTACGAAGCCTGCCCGGTCACCACTGTGTTGTTTTGGCCGCTTCGCCCGCCGTTGCCACCGCCGGCGTAGAGGGCGTCAGGAGGGATCGCAGCGTTACCAGCCGGTGGTTTTCCGTTAGGCTGATTTTTCTTAGATTTAGGCGTCAATTTGTCTCGAGACGTATTGTGAGTCGGTTGTGGATGTTCTCCAGACGAGGAAGATCCCGAATCGCTGTTGGGATCGTTCTTGAACATTCCGCTGGCACCTGCAACAACAATTTCGGATCACTTAGCAAACAGGGTGGCGTCCGGATCCGTCACTAATCGATTGGCATTCGTTCGGCTCGCACAGCTCCGAATACCCGTTCGCATTTCCAGTTCTAGTCCGGGAGAAATATTGGTAAAAAAGTCACGAAGCAAAGCGGCTCGACGGGAAAAAAATTTGGGTGGGGAATGAAAATATTCCCCTAGGGGGGGGCGGTCCGAATTCGTCGGATCATCACGAGTAAGACTCCGCTGACCATTCATCCTATACAATCCAGGACGCTTGCCGGAGCTCCCCGGACTCAGGCGAGCAGTGTTCCAGAAGATCTTGGGGAAATGATGCCCGCAGCCAGGGGATGTCCGAGTGAGCATGTTCGGAACGAGCTTCCATGCTTGAATCTAGGTTAAAGTGAAGACGCTTCTCGATTCCGGTGTCGACACGGCTCCAAAATATGACTAAATTTTATTGTCCGTGAACACGCTATGTCCTCAACCGTTTCGATCAAACGCAAACAGAGTAGTTTCCGTGGCGAGTAAACGACGAGTCGTTTGGCTTCAATGACCTAATGTTGTGCGGTCACAAAACTGACTCCCCTCTTCTCCGGCATCAGCTTTTCTCCGAGGATTCAAGTTCATTCGTACTCCTCCTCTAGAGTAACGAATGGAACGTTCAGCCCAGGTCAGCGCAATATGTTTCCGCATGTTTTCGCGATCCCCACTCGCTGCCGTCGTACTTTTTTCCAGTTTTCATTCAGTGCAATCTGAACATTAGGAACGACGGTCCACACACCGAGCTTCTTGCTTCCCTCTCACACATACATACAATGCACACATTCCTCGCGGACTGTGTCGGTAGAAACAGCTTCAACAGTTTTCTTTCTCCATGCGAAGGAAAGGGCTCCAGAGCCCAACCACCATTACATTTGATGTATCAAGAGGTCACGTGCAAAGAACTCATCCCTGGTATGGCACGGTAGAGGTACCCAGAGTAAATGAATCTCGATAATAAAATGAACAGTATTCGCTGTTCTCTGCTATCACGTCTCAGATCAGTCCTGTACATCGGGATTTCGCGTCCGTCAGCGGGCAGTTTCGAGATAATAGCCGGGTGAAATCGATTCGCTAACAACCTGTGGTCGAATGGCGGTCTTTTCGGTTTGTTTGCCCCTCCGAATGTCGTTCGTGAGAGTCTGGGAATGGATGCACCGAACAGTGCGAACGGAAATGAGAATTTTTCTCGAAGTTCTCCCGTAATCCGAGGGGACGGCTGATTAGAGCCGTCACTGGAACCCCGGGCCGGCCACCTCAGGAACGCTGGTCGGCTGTCATGGTCTCGACGCAGAGGACCTCTCTTCCATCGAGCCGAAATAAAGGCTCCGTAGATTCTACGTGAAAACCCAACACGGCGTGTCGCAATGCACAGATACCCTATTCACACATACTTACACTTCTTATTTTTATGGCTAAATCCTCCCTTCACGCAAGGCCCGCTAGCAACGTTTCTTTGAACAGACTATGAACACTTTCTTACAGTGGCTTGTCAGCGATGCGCCGTCGAGCCTTTGGTCTGAAGATTTCGAGACAACTGCTTTGGAATAAATCCATTATCGGAGGATCTTTGAGGAAAATACGAGCAGTTGAAGTCGGACCCATAATCGGCTCACTCCTTGTAAATCACATGTCAACATTCACTCTTTCAGCAGCTTCGCGACGCAAGAGGCACGGTATCGAAGACGAGACTCATTCCATGATGGCACTCTCGGAGCCTCAAAAATCTTCGCTCACGAAACTATCCTTTCCCGAGGCTAAAGATTTTTCGGATCCGGGAGCAGACGGTCCGCGTGCCACTCAGAGATTGGTAAACATGAACATCCTGTACAGAACTGAGTTTTTTCTCTTAGTTGAACATAGCGGTTGTTTGGGTAGAGTAACCGAGAGTGTGCCGGTTTGAGTTCGTAAGTGCCTGGTGGCGGGAGTTCCGGTGCGGTCGTTGAGTGCGCGGAGCTCGGGTGCCGAGAGGCGGATGGCTTTCGGAAGAAGCCACCGGTCTGCTCGTCGCGTAAGCGTTCTCTGTGAGTTCTGTCAATGGCAGAGATATAGGTCTGGGTCTTTTCATAGTGACGATCACCCACTCTTCGTCCTCGTAGTATTCTTGACCTTGCTGTACCCAGTCCTCCTGATTGAGTGAATATCACAAATTCAGAGCTTGGGGCGTCTTGCTGCTGATATCTGAAAGTTGCACAGCGTCAGTGACCGGCTCGCGTCGCAATCGTACTCCCAAAATTGTCCAAAGTCAGAACCATGCTTGCCGCGAAGCCGAAAGACCTGGAGACCCAACAAACGAAGGAAATAAGTGGCATGGAGCGTCAAATGGATTAGGTAATTTCAGCCATCAAGGACAAAGGAGAAGTTTTGATCGATCGGGTGAGTAGGGCTCAACGGAGGGAAAGCGTGTGGAGGAGTCGTCAGCGACAGAGAAGGAGAACCCTTTCCGGAACGGAACTTACCATGCTATTGGCGGCCGGAGGATGATCGGGAATAGCGAAAAAAACTCAGGAGCGTAAAAATTATACGATTGTCTCGGGGTCGAGAATTCAGTCAGGGGAACGGTTTCAGGAGTTTCCATGAGGGAAACGAATTCCGCAAGCGCAAAAACTACCCATGGGTCTCTATAATAATAATCGAGATCGGGGGAAGCGCTACGATTCTTCCCAGTTCGAAAAATTATTATCCATATCCGTGAGGACGAAGATGGATCTTGGACTCCGCTCCAGGAAATGCTCGGAAAAGTCTACATCTGCGAGAGCTGGATGCTCGGATTTCCATGCACATCAGGGAGGTAGACCAAAAAAGTCGATTTCGTCCACGTTTCATGTGACTAGAGCCCATGGAAGCTGATATGCGTGCTGGATTTTTTCCCCGGAACGTTTTCTACGAGCATTTTTCCGCAGGCAGAACTTTCGACGCGAGAAGCCTGTTTCCAGCGCCTATCTGACATGCACACGAACTAAGTAAACTTCGGAGCCGATTGTGACCGGAGCAGCTGCTGCGCGGATGGAGCCCGCAATTATTTTCACTTGGTGACCTCACCATCTAACGGACCGCTGCTCGTCGTCAACCAGACTCGATTCTCCTACGCTAAAATTACTGGGCGGCTGATGATCCAACAAAACAAAACTTCAAAAACTGAAAAGGAGCTTGCGGGTTCATATCAAAACGAATCTATCGACTTACTGTACTTCCGGGTGAAGCACAACTTCTCTGAACGAACCAGGTAAACGAACACCGTAATTGACACGAGTAGGAATGCAACTCCCCCAGTGGTCATCGCGAACACGAGACTCATCGAGACGGGCTCTGGAAATATGAAAAAAAAACGTCAGACTCCCATTCCGATGTCGATTAAATTACGCATAATGGGAATGAAGCGCGTTCCCGTTTCGATTCTGAGTGAGTGTTTCTCTTCGCTGCGCTGTTTTCTTCATTCGTCGTTGTTCGTTGTCGATGAGAACACGCTCTTCGAGGAAAACTCGAGAGGAACACTCGAGAGCTGTTCCGAGTTCGGCGGCAACGTCGTTCTCGCCGTCATCGCGCTTCTGAAGCGCTGGCGGCCAGCTGGAGAGGGGATGAAGGAGATTGTACGACGTTTTTCCGCTAGTTTTGCCCAAGCCCATCCCCCGATGTTCCGTTTCTTCCCACCGAACGTTCGGACGAGCGACCGAGCGGCCGGCCAAGTGCCTCTCCGTCCGCCGAGCCCTAAGACTCCCCTTTGGCGTGGGAGCAGACTCTCGAGAAGGAACAGTACAAAATAAGAAAAGGCGAACAGAGAAAACAAATCAAATTACTCGGCGACTGCTGTGAGTGTGTATGTAAGCATGTATGTACTCCCCCGAAAAGGACTCGGACGCGGAGCCCCCGGAGGAGATCCTTCGGCGGAGAGCCCCGCGCTTCATTCGCCGCGATCTCGGATGACTTGTAGCCTGCTGAGAAGTTGCCCGGTCCTGGCAGCGGAAGAAGAAGCAGGAGCTCATCCAGCCCAGGAGACGGAACTAAAAATACTACCGACATCTAGCCTGCTTCTGATGAGCAAACCATTTCGCACGGTGGACCCGGGTGCTCGGAGCGCCGGCAGCTCGATTCCGCCGGAAACGGTCGTTCTGATGCGAGCGAACAATCTTAATTTTTTGCACATTTGTACGTGACCATTCATCCGTTGTTTGCTCCCGTTACATGCTCCGATATCAGGCCCTGTCTCTCTCCTCGTAGGAGAGCCTCAGTCCAATGAACCGGTGACGTCCTCGCAGCGAACTATCGACCCGATGGGATCGTGTTTTTGGAAACGCGATGCATTCATCAGCTGGGGCCAGGACAAAAGAAGAGACCAAACAGGTCCGAGGTCCTCTCCTCGGGTCAGGGAAGGTCATGGGGAAGCAGATTAAAATTGTCGATGGGCTTCGACGTCCGTGACAGCACGAAGAGTCTTATCGTTCCAGATCAGTTATTTTTGAGACAAAGGATTACCGCCCACCGCGAAACTTGACAGTTTGCGGATTCACAAAGAATCTAGGCTTCTGTCGCCAGCGGCGTTCGATCTCGAGACAGAGGCAAGGGGTCTGGGAAACTCATGAATCAAGCTCGAAATCACTTTCTCCCCTTCCGAGATGTTCAGCCCATACCGACAAGATCAGAATGTTCCTGTTCGCAAACGGTACGGAAGGGGGGGGGGGGGTCATTCAGAGCCGAAACAAGAATTAAGCTCACCGCGCACGTCGAGCAGAGTCGAGTACTCGACGGATCCATGGGAGTTAGTGATGTTCACTGAGAAACGTCGCGCGTCTCCTTTCTGGACGCTGCGAATGGTGAGATTGGCTTTGTAACAATCGTCTCGGCCTGGTTCCTGGAATGAATGTTCGGATTATCAGTGGGAAGTCTGTCGAGAAAACCGTGATTCTTCCCAACAGGAATCGTGATTTCTCGAAATGTGAGTGCTCGCGGTAGGGCTCGAGGACCATCTCTCGGCTGCCGAGAGAGCATAGAAACAGCAAGAGTACAAATAATAGATGATGATAATGATGAGAAGCGGTTCTGAACGCGAGAGGAATAAGAACTCCGGAAGGCAAGCCGCGTATTCTGCCGGGCTCCTTTTCTTATTCGAAAAAGTTTGTTTAATGAAGAAGAATAGCTCCGGCGGCTTCTTCTGCCTCGAGTGGCGAATTCGTGTTCTTTCGAGTGAGCGCCATCGAAATTCCCCGATTTCCCTCTAGATGTATTGCATAGATTCAATTCGCGGGCGATTGCCACGGAGGACGGATGAAGCAGAGTGAGCGTCCCAGGCAATCTCTCTGTCACTAAAAAAAGAGTTATCGTCTAAAGCATTTGTTCCCTGTCGTGTCGGTGGAAAGGCCACCTTCCTGTCACCGCGTTCTGCGATTGAAATCGCTCCGCAAGTCGAACAATCGACTTGCGAGATATGCCGTGCCGGCTCCCCCGCGAAAACGTTCTCCAACGCTCGAGGATTGTCATCAGCGAAAGTCCTGGCTCCTGAATTCTTATCTTTTAGCGGAAGCAAAAACCCGACCTGAGAAGTTCCGCCCACGCATGTCCCTCCAAATACTGCGGAGGTCCGAGAACCCTTGGAAGTGAGGGATAGAGCGGAGGCGTAATTTTTCAGCGGGCTCCCGGTAAAAACAACACGTGCCGCAATCACGGCATGCAGTTCTGCTAATGGAACGAACCTTATCTAGAGGGTCGGCCACGTAACGGAAGAGAGTCTTTCCTGCTAGAAGCGACTGACTGCCCCAAGTCCAGATGACTTCGTGCGGACGGGGATCCGCACAGAAAGCTACGGTTATTAGGGCGTCATCGTCGCTTCTCACGACGATTCGGTCGCGGTTCGATACGGGGTCTGCGGTGATCATCGGAGGTCCTGGAAGGGACGAAAAAAGCATAAATTGGTCCTCCGATTCCCATTCATCCGGTCGCTCTCGCCGAACACCTTCAGAAAGCAAATAGATTCACTAGACAGCGCCCTCGTCGTCCTCGAATATAATCCGAGAATAGAAGAAGCTGTCCGGAGAGCTCCGAGGAGTGGTTCCGGACGAAAACGGGACGTAACGGGGTCCGCACGAACACGAGTCTCGTGGTGGAAATCGGGAGCTTTGATGAAATTCGTCCCATATTGCCCGTTAGGCGGCAGATGGTAAGCGAGCGAGAGCCAACGAAGTCGAGCTCGAGCTGAACTCACCTTTGATGTCAACACGCGCTTCCTGAGACTGCACGCGGTAGAGTTTCCCTTTGATCTCATTAGCCGCTTCACAGATATAGACTCCCTGGTATTCGTAGGTAGCATTGTTGACGACCAGCGTGGATTCGCGACCTCGCATGTTCCAAACTTTCTGGTCGCCGTTGCCGTTCTGCTGCAGCCAGCTGATTTTCGGTGTCGGATTTCCTTCGGTGACGCAGGTAAGTCTAATCTGTTCCCTCATATCGAAGGTAAGCGGAGGCGGCGGTTCGATCCTCACTATCTTCGGCTTATCTGTGAAAAACAAATGAAACGAGGTAAGCCTCTCGACCTACAAGACAAATCGAACGTCTTCAGCCAGCGAGCAGCAGCAGCAGAAGAAATTCGACGTTCCGGGTCTGAGTTCCTGAGGACACTGAAGCTCTGCTCCCCGGCGGTTCTATTCAAGATGGAGCGACCGAGATCAGATCCCAAGGAGTCGCGATGACATTCGACGTAGGGTGCGCGAACGTTGTCGGTGAGATAGTCCGTCGGTCGCGATCCTCGTCGTCGCATCCCCAATTTCCGCGGAAAGCAATTGGGACAAAAGACCACGATCAGGGCTCCATGTTGAACTTTCTGATTCAATTCGACTCTACTCGAGGAAGCCCAACGAATCGACTCTTTATTCGCTGGCGCGCGCGCTCTCTATTCCAGATCGAGTCGGTGCTGGCGGCGAGCTTGCTAGCTGGTGCTTTCGTGCCGCTCGCTGTTCATCTTCAGCAGAAAACCACGTTTTCTCGTGGCTTACGCAGGATTACGGAACAGATGGAATCGTTTGTCTCTCGGACAAAGCGGCCGACGCAGGACCGCAAGCACCCGTCGAGCGAACGACACCGACGGCGACGACAGCGGGCGACTGACAGTGTTTATTCGAGCCCGAAGGCGCAGAATGGGCACTTGGCACCTAAGTCTTAAATCAATTGACTTAATTGTCCTAATGGTGTCGTTCGTACGAAAAAACGTCGCACTCGTCGTCGTCGAGTCTCTGCGGCGACGTGGTCGCAGTCGTTGCGGAGCGTCCGTGTCATTATCTCCAGGAGAGGCGTCTCTGCGAGACAACTCGCAAGCTTCGACTTCATGCCTCTGCGCAACTAGCCCGTTCCTGCGCCCGCTCTAGCACCTCGCGTTGGGGGCGTTGCGAGCCGTTTTTAAGTGGAGATACCCGCAAGCCGGATAAGTGTGTACAGATGCTTTCGTTCGCGCTCCGTTCGAGCGGGATGCCGATAAGAAGAGGAAAAGCGGGGAAAATTTCACTTGATGTCGGATGCTCTCCTCCGCGTCGATTACGGAAATAAGTTCGAGGACTCTACGTTGAGGACTCGTCCAACGATGAGATCTCGTCATTTGGTGCTCCAGATTCTCAAACATGGTTCTTCCCTTAATGTTGAGCGGAGGGAGTGGGATAGACGAGGAAAGTCGGCGGGGGCTAATGTAATCAATGTCTCGTGCGATTCGCCGCCGTCATCGAGCGATCCCATGTCTTGGGCAGAGAGGGGAATGGGATGCAAAGTCGGGGGATTCGCTCCCGGGAAGAGGAATATCTAGTTTTGCCGGGCGGTTCGTTCTCGGAAATCAAAAGGAAAAACCTGGCTGCGTCACGCAGAACTTACATTTCACATCAACGACTATCTGTGTTTCCGGCGAGTCTCCAACGTCGTTCCTCGCCGAACACGAATAAACTCCAGAATTCGACCTTTTAATTCCGGTGAAAGTGATCTCTTCTTTGATGCCGAAAATGCTCGCCTATCGGGAGAGAGAGAAGAAGAAAATATTTCAGTGATCGAGATGTGAGGTTGGTATCAAGCCTATTCCTTCGTTCGGATTCGAAAGCCTCAGATTTCGATGGACGACTCAACATTCTATCGAGGAGGATTCCATGTGTATCTTTCTGCTCCACGAAAATTAATCGTTATGCTATGAAGAGTATTGTGCGCTGTTACTGCAAATCTTCCGCGCGAAATGGCCATATTTTCGTGGAACGATCGCGTTCGACTCGATGCTACACTAGGCCTAGGTCGTAGTCGCCAGCTGGTGCTGCGAATGATGATAGTGACTGTTTCCTTCATCAGGGTCGTTTGCTTGCGAATAGGGGCTCCTACCTAATTGTTGTGTATGTGCACGTTCGTTTGACTATTCACATTAATTTGTGAGAGCCAGCAAGCCACAACGCGAAGCTCTGTTCGGGGATGAATACTCACATGTCCGGACTTTCTCCAAACAATGTTGGCGGGCGGATTCGCGTCAGCTACACAGCGTACCGTGAGATTTCCACCCTCTTCAATGTCCTGGTGAGGGTTACCTTCCAAGCGAACAGTTGGTTTATCTGAAACGGAATCAGTTCATGCTGGTGAATCATCAGAATCCGCAACCCGATTCCCGGGGGAAACCGCTCATTTCCCTCCTCATTCCCTGCACCCGTTGAGCATCGACACAATCGGAGGGTGAAACCTCAGAGGTGGTCCGAAGGTGTGATCGGAGCACAAGGGAAGCTGCGGCATCTGACGTATCGCAGTGTCCTGGAGCTCGAGCCATAGCCTCGGGACTTGTATGGCGACAGATCGAATTTCACAAGAATCCAGACAAGGAATGCGCCTGTACCACGGTGCCAAGTAGCAGAACCTCCAGTGACATGTCCAAATCGGTTCGCATTGTATCGAATCTGATTTCCACCTGGCAACATAGGTTCGAGGACAAGACAGCTGCACCGCCACCCCGCGTCCATATCAATCGCAGCAGAACTGCGGGGGCGACAGGAGTTCGCGGCTGTCGCTCTGGAAGCCGATTCCTCGATACTGCGCAAAAATGAGAACACCGCATGCGAATCTTGGATTTTCTCTCTGACCGAATGGCCAGATGTGGATGGGACAGAATTCCTTGCGGAAAACGCCGTTCGGCTCTCCACGACCACATCTCTCGGAATCTTCAGATCGACCGATGAATCCCCAATCACGAACCGGAGAGTCTGCTGAAGCGCTGCTCCTCGCGGAGATGGAAGCGAGCACTCAAGCGAAGCCGAGACGGTAGTTACGCGAGTCCGGGCGTTTCGTGAAGAGTCTCATGTTTCAAGCAGCTCTGGTGTCTAGCTCATACATGGACAACGAACACGTCGTTGCTAATGGTCGCAAGCACTTGATTCCAGTAGACCCGTCATTGGTTAGTCCCCCAGGAGAACTCTGATTTTAGCTCTCGGCTCGCTCGCTTGTGGACCGACTCCCGCTCCGCCATTGAACAGAAAGACTTACCGACAGGGAATAAACAATGTCGGGTTTCGCCCGCGAGGATTTCCGCGGTATGACGCTGCTTCCGGGCTGAGGGTCTCGGCGGTCTGAGCCCCAGCTATTGGAGACGGAATCGTCACGACTGAAGTTCGCGACGGATGGATAGAATGGAAATCGGGAACAGGGAAAATGAAACAACGTCGCACAACACGGGGACGCGGGATTGAAACGAAAAACCAATATGTGGCCCAGAATCAGCGTCAAATGGGCAACCAGTGAAAACTGGGGCACGTGAGTGAGCGAGCCTCACAACATCGGCAGAGGCGAGGAAATCCATCAGCGAAGAGCGATGAACGCCTAAGAGGCGTTATGGAAGTCGAGGGACGACGACAGCGAATGCTTGTCGAGAAAAATAATTCAAGGAGAACGACATCCGGGGAACTTATACTTACACATGACATCTAAGGTAACAGTCACTTCCTTGTATGAAGATACAGCCGTAGGATGGTGACGAACATCGTTGTAATAACCGCTCTCTATGGGGATTTGACTCGTGGGAGAAGCAGCTCCGTATGCTCCGTGATACGCTCGGCAGGATAACGTTCTTCCGTGGTCGGCCTGAAATCGAGAGAAACCGGATTCGAGTTTCGATCTCTTTCGGGACCGGTGGTCTCTACCTCTGAGCAAGCTTTCGTCCGCTTCCCGAGTCCGTCCGGGTCAGGGAATCAATCTCAATTGCTGCTCACCTTCTCGAATGTGTAGTGCAGGAGCGAACTGGCCACGAACGTTTTCGGCTTGGACACGTCCGTGGCATTCGTCTGCGTGGAGCTGTGGGTGATCTCCTCGTTACCCAGGAACCACCTGCAATGGAATGTCATAAGCGAGTTAGTGATAGCCGTGCCGAGGATCATGCCGACGACGACGCGACGGTGGTCGCTCATATTATCGAGGGAGGAAACCGCACCACTAGAAAGGCACTTATTAATTGGAAGCTGCTCGAACCGCAATGCGGCGTCCGCAGATTCTCTTGCCGCATCAGGTTTCGCTCTCCATACGCGAACGTTCAGCCCGCGGTTACTCGGTAACCGTTTGGCGACGATTGTCTGTCGACGAATTTTTGCAAGGGCCTTCGGACGGGGCTACATCACACTTGAGAGAACTTGCTCCCGCAGCCAAATACCATCGGTTGTCGCTTGCCACCGAGCTCGTAAACGCTCTACGTTCGAAGTAGTCGTGCTACCAGAGACTGCAGTCGCATGACAACGGCTGGTCATGTAGTGTCTAACAAATAAGTGTTTCCGCGCGCCGACCGAAGGCAACGAAGCTTGTTTCCACTGAAGGAAACAATCCACAATAGTTTTCTGCATGAGGAAAACTTGTTCCGGACCATTAATCAGATCTACTTCGCTGAAGAAATGCGGCTGACTCGAGTCGAAAGGCATCTCGGAACCCCCCGAACTCTCAGAATGCACGGATTCAGCCTTCCAGCGGAAAACTTCAGGGTTCGGCTCGAGAAATGAGCCGTGGACGGGGCACGAGCAATAACCGAGTTGGCTCTCAGAATGAGGGAAAACTTCTCCCGGTCGGGACTCGGCTTCCCAATCTATGAATACTGCTACTCGTTCCCAAGGTCGTCTCGTGATGTAAGCGGCAGATTATGCGAACTCTTGCCCTTGTTGCTAAATCAGCGATGTAACTTTCAATAGCGGCACCCGGGTGACATCCACAACGCATCATCGTCAGAAGGGTCCGCAACAGCGGCAATCATCGGAACGAGTGCGGTATGACAACCGACACGGGCACGTGAAACACGTTCCTGATATGAACGAGCTCACATCATTCGTCGGATAGAGGGCCATAGGATGCAACAGCGTATGTATGTAATTGATTGTTTCAATTTAAGAGTCGTTGACAAGCGTGCGCGCGCCCTGTCGCGCCAAAGAGCCCATAAACATTAAACTGACCTGATGTAGGCGGGAGGGTTTCCCATGCGAGAGATACAGTTTATCTTCCGTGACTCTCCCGCTCTGGCCGAGATCCTGTCACCGTGCTGATTGTCGTCTTCGATGCGAGGTGGCAGCGGAGCCTCTATAGAAGAATTTCGGATTTAGAAATTTTTCCTTTCCATCTTCCAAGCTCGCCCGATTATTCCAGAATCTGTATACGTGGACACGTGGCGATGGCGAGAGGGGTTCCGAGTTCGGCATGCTGGGACTGAAGCTCCAAATGCGGCGAACGGGGACAACCGGGACAAGGATCCCGTCGGGAAGTATGTATACGGGCTCAGGCAATCCCCTACGATTCCACCGACCGACGCGACGCTAGGTTTATGAAGAGTCTTCCGGTTCCCCGATTTCGACAGAGCTATTCAGCTCTGCCCTCAACCTCTTCCCAGCAGAGGAGGACGCGAACTAATTAGAGGGATCCTGTCCGTCATCAGGACGGCTCGGAGTTTCGGCAGGAGCTCTTCTCCGAACGAGCATTTTGAAGCTTCATCATCCTATTTGTTGTTCCCCGGTCCGAAGGACAGAAATGGATCGTTGGAACAAATCCCGAATCCTTGAGGGGGAGCAGTCAAGGGAGGGAGGAGAAGGAGACGTCTCTCCGAGACGTAGAGGAGATTGCAGTTCAATGGAGCGTTCTAAATTCATATTGTACGAGAGTTACAGAAGCCGGAGACGACCTGCGTCGGCGTCGCTTGCTCCCATCCTCTTGTTCGAACCTTCGGCACCAACTCCGAGTGTCGTCATCCTAGAATCTATCCGAGAGTCCGTTGCAGAATGCCTCTACGCCGCGGAATAGCCTCTTCTACCATCGCGGAAAAAAAAGGACGTCTCGGATGTAATACGATACTCTGAGAACCAGGGGATGAAAATTCTGAAGTTGAGGGCACCGAACGAAATTCTCAAATAATTGGGCGAAGCGTCCGCATGAGGAAGGCGTCGTATTGCGTCGATCGATCTGGGGTCGGAGACCGAAAAGTTTTTCCCGACTTACCTCGGACTCTGAGCGATGCCTCTCGAGACTCCAGGCCCAAATCTTCCAGCGAGGCCATGGTCACTTGGCATTGCCAATCGCCGTCATCTTCTTCCAGTTTCGTGTTCGATATCGTGATGGAGCAGTCTCCATCTCCTGGTTCGCGAGAAAAGTGGTACTTGCCCGGTATTTTACCTGCAGGAGAAGGAAAACGTTGAGGTATTCCTCCAGGGCAGTCTTATCACCAGTCCACAGCTACCGCCTTGGCTTCCGCAGATCCAGCCGGAAATAGCTCGGAGCTCCGAGCAGTGAGAGCCGAATCTGGCTCTGCATTCTCCATGACAACAGTTCCATAGCTCGTCAGAATGCTAAGGAGCAACTTACCGACAACTCGACGATTCTTCAACCACACGCATTCACCTTTACGGTTCCGAATGCGGCAGCCGAGTTTGACTGCCTGGAGTGGATTTACCTCGACGTCGACCGGTTCTGTTTCGAATTGCTGCACCGCTCGTACAAAGTCTGCAACGGAGAAGAGAAACGAAATTATAATACGGGCGTATAAGTTCATTTATCACGAAAGAACTACTAAAGGGTGGGGAAGATCATTCGGTCGGCAACCACGGAGAGCTATCGTCGAGGAGTCAGAGACAACGTCATTCGATGTGCCATCATGATTATCTCAATTAGAAGTGTTACGTTGCAAATTGGGCAGGCGATCGGTAGCACTTCGACCGCCTTCATCAGAAAACGATCATGGAACTCAGAAACCATATTTCAAGCTTTTCGCCAGGTAAAGCCCCACGTTCTCCCCGTGTAAATCAAGAGGAGCCGGTCGGCGGCGAGGTGTCAAGAGCTTTCCTTCGATGTCTTCGTTGTCGCTTGTTGTCGCCGTCGCTCGACGACGACGATTGTCGCGTCTCAACGAAACGGTGTTCGACATTATTTCGTTGACACCTTGGAACGATTCGCGTTTTCCTTCTGCGGCCGGTGTCACGATCGGTCACAAGCTCCCTTCCTCGCCCTCGTTCGACCTGAATGTTTTCGCCCGACTTTTTCTGAACTCAGTTTTCACGTATCTACGTATCGACGGAGAGCTCCGATATCATCGATGAATGATCGATGAACAACATCGACGATTTTGGTGGCGAAAAAAAAGTGGCGAAAGCCTGAAGTTCGCGGGTATTGATTCCCCGTCGGAAGCTCTGCCTGGAGGTATAGGTGTGTGTTTATCCTGGGTTCTGCCGCCCGCTGTTGTCGACAGATCTGAATTATTCAACATGTTGGCCAAACTCGACAAAGAACTTCGCCTCTCTTTTTTCCCCGTTGTCGTCGCCCTCACAGAAGCAACAGCGCCAGAACATCGTCCGATGAAACATTGAACCGGTTCGTCGTGATGCGCGAGCTCGCCCCTCTACAGCGTGCGTTCGTGCCTGCTAGGTCTCTTTTTTGAAAACAAACTCGCAGGTCAGGGTTCCAAAGGAAGCGTCGGCGTCGTCCCGACGAGATAATCCGATATTCGACAGAGACTCCTCCGAGGCTCAGGTCCAATTATTCAATTTGAGAGCAACTCATTCGCAACTTAGTTAGTTGTGGCTGGCTCGTGAATTTTTCTAACAAGTTTTACCGAATAATTAGGAGTAAATGCCGCACGTAGCCTTGTGAGTGAGGAACTTCTGAATGCTACTGCCGCGCGTGGACAGCAATTAGGATGCTTGACAACAAAATCTACTCGTTTCACCCTCGCGCACAACAAGCCGAACACTGCACTCCGAACGTGCCGGCGTGAGTGGGTGTTGATGAATCGCGATTCGAAAATAGGTTTCCCGTTGGAAGCGCGCTCAGTTCTTGACATCGCATCTCGGGCTACGTGGCCCGAGACGCGATGGAAACGCGGTCGAGTTTGGCTTTCATTACCGCGAGGCATTCTCGGCGAGACTGAACGATTTTTAATATCGTCAAGAGTTGCTTGCGGGCTCCTGCGGGACTGAACTAGCGGTCGGTGCTTCGGGGAAAAGAGGTGATCCGCACGCGCTATAGGCCGCGAACCCGGAGCGCTGATTCGAGAAATTTCCCTGCGGAAGGCTTCCGTGAGAGCAATGGATATAAAGCAGACTCTGGATCTCTTCGTGAGTGACTTCGTCCGGCGCGTTCCTGCCGTCTCTCTCTCTCTCGCTCCTTCATGAGGAAAGGAATGATATCTCCCGAATAATGATTTTTTCCCGTGCTCCCAGCCCGGCATCGTTACCATCCTATCTCGCGCACCCTATGTCGGAATCGTTAACCAAAGTCGATGTTCGCGACGGACACGTTCGAGTCCTTCAATTCGTTCGGCGGGGATCCCATCCCCGAACTCCGACGGCGTCGATTGCGGCTCCTCCCGAGTCGACACTCTCCTTGGATTTTGGAAACGATCGCATATCCTCGGTAATGACGAAATATTCAGACGAGAGCGGGGAAGCCGTGTTTGGGCTCGTTGCTTTCCGCTCCCCGAGCTGTTCGATCGGGGGAGCTTGTTTCGGTTTGGTTAGACACGAACGAACTCAGAATGGAAATCGACTAGATCCACCCGGAGTTGAAATGACGGAGACGGCTCAGGTTCTACTCATCAATAATTCACCCTAGAGCGGCCTTGCCCGTACCTCACTCACTCAGAACAGAGAGGCTGCTTTCGGATGTTCGGCTTGTTGTGGTTCCGCTTTTTTAGCCAGGCCAAGTCTGTGTGACAGCTTGCTACAGAATTCAAGCTGGATCGAGTCCCGGTTCCCCGAAGGCGCACACTCATCGCATGTACGGCTCCACTCTATTCAGTCGGTGTGCTACTCGTCAGATCGATGATTATCTTGATCTACCACAACTGATTTCCGAGCTCGGGGACTCGTTTGCTGGGATCCGACGCGGAACGGCGCCTTGGGGATCAGCTGCGTAAGCTGTACTCTTACAGTGTGTCGATGGTTTAGCCATTCTCATCATCGTCGAGTCCGTGCAGCAAAAACGTCAATTTCGAGGCGAGAAGGGGTATAGTCGCACCCGAGGACCGGGATCGGCGACGGAAGTTCCATTGACCTGTTTCACTTCAGAACTTCTGCAATCATTTCGAAAGACTCGGTGTTTTTCCCAAAACGGTTTCGAACGAGTATCCCCCTGGGAATTTCCGCCTGCATCGGTCGGAATTCGGGCTTTGCTCCGGCCAACGCCCGCTGCATACCCGGAACCATCAATGGTCCTTCTCCGAGAGAAAATATGGTCGGTCCCCGACGTGAGAACGTATTCCGGTCAGGATGGCTTGTGCTTGGAATGTCGGAATAATTCTCAAACAGGTAAACTGGAAAGGTTTTCGGACTCCGGAGCCGCTCCCACTCGGGGGAAAATCCGCCAATTTTTCGTCGCTTCGTCGGGGACGTTGAGGCCATTGGACGCGCAAGGAAACTGGGTAGAATTTCAATAACGTGAAGTCGTTCCAGATGAATCCTCGCCGCCGTCTCTTTATCATCCAGGAGCCATTAAATATTCGTTTGGGGAAGTCTGTCGTGCAATTCGTTGAGTGATTCTCTCCATTGGTTTGATGGAATGGCTTCCAAAAAGTCGGGGGTCCGATACACAGGATAGGGATCGAAGCGAGCTCCCGAGCCGAGTATTGGAGAGCGCAACTCCGTGAATACTTTATCACGACAGCCCACGAACTTCTCCAGGAAGCCATTCGCTCCGCGTAGCTTCTCTAGCAATGAAATGCCGAGGCTGTTGGGTGGGACTCGAGCCCAGCGGGGCCTGAAAGGAGTTTCATGCTTCGGAGGAGCAAAATTTACGAACGTGGTATCAAGCAGCGGACAACTTTCAGAACGTCTGAACAAATAACGGCACGACGTCCCGCAAGCGACCGTTTCTCTCGACGTCCGGATATGTCGACGAGCTCGCTCCGTCATCTCGAAGGAGCTCTTATGCAGTACTTATTACGTATGGACAGACTTGATAAATGAAGATGTCATTTCCTGCCACCATGGCTCGCCGAAACGTCCAGCTCGTCAGCGACCAGCTGAGCCGGGTGCCGCGATTCTAGCCGCGATCCATCCCGTTTATGGAAGTCATTCGGATCCCAGTTGAAACAACGAGAGCACGAAGCCGTGGAAGACTCGAAACGATGGATCACATGCTCGACCCCGTCGGCTTGGGTACGCGTAGTGGCACTGCTTCTAATCTGCATAGACTCCGGGAGTTTCATCGAAGTTATCCAGTGATGTTTCCTAGAAAGAAGATCGATGACTCCGGTCCATGTACGCGAGCGAGTGGGTGAAGGAACGGTCGGACGAACGGAATCGGGTCTCAGAGAACGTCCTCGACAAGCTGTAACATTTTCTGCCACCTCGGAAAGGCCGACGAGAAACTCTCCGCCCTTCTGGGAAATCCGAAGCTCGCGTCGGTCAATAATTCGTTCCTCCTTCCCCCATCGCTGAGTAGCCGCTCCTCGGATCCGAAACCGGGTCTCGATGCTCGGGAAGGCTGAACTTTGTATGACGACCAGCATCAATGAGCGAAATGTGGACAAGAGCCCGAGACTCCAGAAATCGCGTTTACGTAACGGTAAGCTCCCCGGGGAAGGGATGCTACGTCGTCCAGCGTAATTAACTTGCACAACGTCTAGTGTACGGTTTTACTGCGTGTCGTTGTATTCATTGCGCACTCCTCTCGCTCCGGGGAGTGGCTCGTGGGTTCCGTTGTCCTATAGATGTGCGCTCCGGCTCCTTGTGATGTTTTTGTGGAGAGTTTGTATTTATTTCGCACGCTTGTATCTGCTTCAGGAGCGGTCCACAAAGCGGAAGTCTCCTTTTTCTCCAAATATTCATGGTGACGCTCAACAGTAGGGTCCTTACGTCAGTTTTTACTGGCCGTGGTCTTATGCATGGAACGCTATCATAAATAGTCATGAAGTCTACCGTGAGCAGAGAACACACGGTCTTGGCACAAGGTTCATGTCAGCTTCCTTCAACGTCTTCAATAGATGAGTATTCACATGAATATAGATTTGCCCTGCATGCTAATTAGACCACAAGCCACGAGCTATGAAGACACAGGAGACGGGATGGCGGACGTTTCCTGCCCAGAAAAGAAATTATCCGCGACCTGCAGACTGGCGGACTTTGGACTATAATGAAACGAAGGTCATCCGATTTTCTATTCTGTCATTCAAAAACGGAGAGTTCCTTTCGAATCCCGTCGAAGACTAATCCCCTGCCCAGACGCATCTAAGGCTGCCTAATGGAACAGTCCGCTGCTTGACTGAGTGGTATTACCGCTTATTTTCAATCTGAATGATACCTATCACTTTTTTTTCTGAAGCTCCGCAACTTCAATGCATGCAGAAGTCTTTGTTGGAGCGACTCGGTTCGCGACCGCGCTTTGGAAGAAACAGAGGTCGCGTCTATATATGGTAATGCGATGCTCGAGCGCTCGCGGACGATTGCGAGTAGAGCAAATCGTACGAATGCTTTTTTGGCAGCGGTAACGGTTCTCTAATTGCATATGCC